GCGGGAGACGCCCCCCTCCCGCGCCTGGGCAGCGACGGCCGGACGCGTCCACAGGGCTCGAGCCGCAGTGATTTTCAGCAGACGGGGGCTGGGGCTGCAACGGAGCGAAACTTGGTCACCCCCGAACAGACCAGCCCACGGCCGCAGACGGGCCTGAAAACGAGATTCAGCCCCAAAAGCAAGTCGGTCGGCGGTCAGGTCTCCAGGCTCCCGGGCGCCCGCCTGCGGGCGTTCCCCTGAGCGCAGAGCCGCGTGGGTCGTGTTTACTCCCCTGTGAGCGTGACGCTCCCCGCGAGCTCCTACCTTATACAGCCGGCGACGCGGCCACGGGCTATTTATAGGGGCGCAGGCTTCACACCCCATATGTTTATTTTACAGCCGTTAGACCGAGTGGGAGGGCGGCCGCCCAGCGCCGGCGACGTAGCTTCGCCAGTGGCTGGAAGTGGTGATCCCCGATTCCTACGAGGGGGCCGCCTGCCCGCCGGCGTCCCGGCTCCCGCAGGGCGACCGCGTCTCCCGCGCAGGCCGCGCCTGTGGCTGGAGCAGAAGAGACGAAAGACCGGAGGAAGCTCTGACATCCCATCCGCAAGGATCCGGCGACGCGGCCACAGTGTGGGCGCCCTCGGCGTGGGCTCTCCTGCCCGGGCGGACCCTGCGCCGGCACGGCCTGGCCCGGGGGTGTCTTTCTACTTAGTGGATACAGAAGACCAACTTGGCTGAGGCCTGAGAACGGCGCACACAGCGCGGGTGCGAGGCGTTCGCCAGCGTCCCTCGTGTCCTCAGAGAGGTTCGTGGCCCGAGAGTCGGGAGCCCGGACTCGGAGCCCACGTCTTTCTTTTCCTCGGACCCGCTCCCGGTGGCACTCGGCTGCCTCCTGTGAAGAGTTAATCACCCGAGAAGAGACTGAGAGACAGTCGTCTGGTAACAACACGGAGGAAATTTCCAGACGTCCCAAAGGGGTGACGAACAAGACGCCGGCGGTTGGCACGGCCTGGGCCCCTCCGCGAGAAGCGTGTGGACCGACCCGCGCGGGCGTCCAACGGCCCCGCACGCCCTCGGTGCCCGCGATCGGAGCAGCGGGTCCCGGCCCCTGAAACGGAACCCAGACCACCCGAAACCCAACCTGGAAGTTACAGGTCGGACGAGAGTTTTACCCAAAGGCCGAGTGGGAAACAGACGCTAACGAGCGCCCGCAGCCTTGGGGGAAACCGGGACCTCGGGGCTCGGAGCCGGCACTGGGTCTCTCCACGCACGTCTGGACCCCAGGTCTCAGTTTTCACTGTTTTCAAAGCTGCCTGTTTGTGAAAAGAGGCCAGTTTTCCAAAGCCCGTGCCCGTCCAGCAGACTCCAGACGCCCGGGTGTGAGGCTGACGCCGGGCTCGTTGGCCCCGGGAGTGGGACGCATCCGTCACGGGGAAGCTGCCACTGGAGGGAGCGGCCCCTTGATGACTCCGCACGACTTCCTGCGGCCGCGTGAAGCTACGGTCACCGCAACGCACGTTTAAATCAAGAGATTCAGTTACTGAGGTTTCGCCGCCAGTGCCGCCGACGGGCAGGCTTGGGGCACCGATCGACGGAAACGGCCGTGAGAAGCGGGAACTGCTCCTCGGGTGTGTCTGCGCCCCAGCGGGCCCAGGGGACAGCTGGCCGTTCGCCCCAAACCCCTGTGCTGTTTGCGGAGATTCCCGTTAGCTGCCTCCCCGTCAGCGGCTGTCGTCGCCGCCACGTTCTGATGGGGCCAAAGCGCCGTCGATGATAAACGGTGCTGTTATTTTCACCACCGATAAGAAAAAAAAAAAAAAAAAATCCCATTTAAATGATGGCAGTTTTTCTTCATTATTTTTTTATACTTGTAGTTTCACCCAGCGGGTTTTATCGTGTGACTGTAACTTAGAGGCATAAAGTGAGACGCCAGCAAGGAGGTTGGTCACGGCGTCCGGGGCCCTCTCACTGCGCCTGACGCGGCCGGTCCCGCCCGCCGACCGGCAGGTGTCGGCACCGCCACAGGCGTTTCTGGAACCGCGGGCTCTGTGCGTCATCCTTAGGTTCCGCGGTTGTATTTTCCACTTATCACTCCAGACGCCCGTGGCTCACTCGTCCGTCCGTTCAGCTCGTTCACCCACAGACCTTTGGTAGGTGCCGCCCGGTGACAGGCGCAGCTCCAGACTCGTGGCCGAGGCGGCTCCCCTCTTCCCGGCCGCGCCCACACCGTCCAGCCTGTAATGTGACCGCCCGCGAGTCTGCGAGCCTCACAGACTTAGGGCCGGAGTCGGGCGCCGACCGGGCGGGGCTGCAGGGCCCAGGGCTTCCGGGGCGTTAACCGCAGATGGAGCAGAGGCCTCCCCGGGACGGCGCACGTTTGCCGTTTATTACCCATAATCAGGCTCATTAAGCGCAATCTGCTGATTGAATTAAAGGCGCGGGCCCGGGAGACCATGCGGTGAAGCGAGCCCGCGCCTGCCTCCGGGCGGTTACCTTCCGATGGCACCCACCGTGCCCCGACCCCGACGCCCTTCACGACGCTCACTCCTGATCTATGCTCAGGCCTGACCACCATCCAGGATGATCGCTGCCATTATTGATTTTTTAAAAAAACTTTAAAAAATATGTTTTTATTGATTTTAGACAGAGAGAGGAAGGGAGAGGGAGAGAAACATCGGCTTGTGGTTCCACCTTTCGATGCATCTTCGGTGGTTCCTTGTATGTGCCCTGGCCAGGGGTCAAACCCGCAGCCTTGGTGTGTTGGACGAAGCTCTAACCAACCGAGACACCTGGTCAGGACCCACAGGAGACATTTTTAATGACAAAGTCTAAGTGCAAAGTCTGCGGGGAAATGTACCAGGGACAGCTGCCCGTCGCAGTCGGGAGCTGGGGGGAGCCACCTGCAGGGCCCTCGCTGAGAAGAGGGAGCCCCTCCAGCCCCCTCGGGGAGAGACGCAGGCGCTAACCACATAGAACCACCCGCCTGCCTCGCCAGCCTCCTTATTCCGAGTCGGTTCTGCCCGAGTCACGTCCAGGGCCCCATCAGGATGCTGAGCGTGAGCCTCCGTGGCCTCCGTGGCCTCCATGGCCTCCATCACCCGCTGTGCAGACAGGACAGGATCTGGAACCGTCCGCAGCCCTGGCAGGAAGGCGAGTGTGTCTGTGGCATGCAAATCGGATTCCTTTTAAAGTAAATAAACCTCCCAACAGAAAGAAATATTTAAAAATAAGCAGCTCTCCAGGTCCAAGTGACTACGTTTAAGAAGATGCCAGGCCGCGGAACCGAGGAGTCAGCTTTGTTTCCTTCCCGTTTCTGTCTCCTGCAGATGGTCCAGCTCACAAGCGGGACACACGACTCCATGGCGGGG